AAATATCTCAATGTTATGCGATAACATATAAAATGCATGATATAATTTCTAATAATTATAATTCTTTCAGGGATTTAAAAGTGCTTTTAATTAGCATACAACAATCGGTAATTTGTTTATTAGTGTATTATATAACATGATATCATTGATATCATCAGTTATTTTCTTAATAAAAAATTATTATTCGTTATTAATTAATAAACGAATTAATATATAATAATTATTGATAATTGCTTTTGCGTTTTAATCTTAACATTTTTGTTTGTGACTTGTGTTTTTATGTGTAAATAAGCCGTCAGTGTGTGAATTTTAAAGCCTTTAGGCAGTTTAATTAAAAGATTCTTACAAATTCTAAACACTTATTTATTGTGCTTAATAAAAAATTAGCTATTTTATTTGTTATTTCCTTTATTATTTGTATAACAGTTTTCGAGAATATTCGGAAAGGTTGTTTGCTTTTAGTAAATGGCATAAAAGAATCAAAGCAAAAATGAAATCGAGCAAATAATATGCAAACGTTACAATCCAGATGAATTCATGAAACGTTGCTTCCAGTCAACAACGTTTCATCGGCCTTAATTAAAATCAAATTATGCAGAGAAACGTACTTGCTAACAAACACTATCAACGACTCAAATGCGCATTCGAATCGGATTCATGTAGCATTCCAGTGTTCAGAAAAGTGTTCATTAAAAATCGCCATCGCAAACGTATAATTCTCTTTCTTGAATTATCATTTGATGAAAATAGTTTAACAATTTCAATCGGATTGCAATAACACGCATCACTTTAAAATTTTTTTGTAAATAATAAAGGGAGAGTAATGATACAAAATGAAGAATTTCTATTCTATTTTTCTGCGAGACTAAATTGTAGTTATGTATTTAAGAATACAGATCTCATGTATTTTTATTATAGTTTTCATTGATTGGTTACTGCAAGAGAGTTCATTTGATAATATGCTTTCTCCTAAAAAACTCTAAATCACTAAAAGTGATCATTTTTTGGCTTAGGTACATTAATTAGAGACAGTAAATAGAGCGGTAACAATTTTCGCGACGATAAATCCATCGCGGCCGCAAGTATTCCCGACTTCGGCCGAGAAGAAAAGAAGAATCACTAGCTGCCGTGAATCAAAACGACAGCTACAAAAGACAAGACAAAGTGCCTTCTCGCCGTGAGAGAACCAAATTCGCGTGCGAATCGGGCGGATGTTCCCGTCGACATCTCCGATGAGAAAGCAGAGCGGTGGAGGGGGAGAGTGAGGGAAAGGGGTTAGGGGGAGGGATGGGTTGAGTAGGCAAGCGAGAGAGAGTAGGA